GTCAATCGTTTCTCAGTGGTGGAAAGGAATAAAGTGTCAAGTTTATGTTCGGACATTTGTTTCTTATATTTTTGGAGAGCGCATTGACAACTCCCAATAATCCAACAAGGGACCGATCATTAGCCTTTTTGTTTGCGTCCTACACTAACTAATTTGCTTTAATACTGTTAGAAAGTAAGGAAAACATTCTAAAACTAATTATTATGCAAATTACCTAATTAACATACAAGTTGCTTATGACATACCATACCACCCCACCCCCGGTAGTGGCTATGTTTCATTTCAATCCAGCATGTATAGACAAACGAACAGAAATTTGAGCCCAAAATGGTTCTGCCAAAAAGACATTTTGGGTGTTTTGTAAGGATTATATTTTCACTGATTTTTGACGAGTTAAATGTAAAATATAGGAAAAAATGTATATTTGCTTGATTTTATTTTCACTGAATCATTCCTTCATCAAAAATAGCAATAATTAATTCCAAGCGAAAATAAAGTATTTTACAGTATATCACAATTGGATAATCAGATTTCATTCACGTCCCTTTGTAACTTAACAACATAAATGAATATTAGCAAAAAGGGCGATGGTCGTCATGCTGCACATTTGTGTTGATAAACATCCAATCTTCAAACAACCTGGGTGCGACTTGCACTGATTACCCCAGGTGACTCCTTCGATACCTTCCAATCACCCAAAACTACCTAATTAAGGTTAGGTAACATCTCAGTTTGTACTTGTTGATCTGCGCAACAGTCAAAGTCGCCATCTTTGTTTATATAAAGACCCATTTATCTTGCGCATGCATGGCGCGACGACTACCGCCCTTTAATCTGTCAACTTACAAACATTCCTGTCCAAATACCAGTGCCAACATATGAGAAAGGAATACACTCAATACCTATGGACACACTGCCAAATATAATAGCCAATGTACCCAATAAAATTAGAGTGATACCAAAACCAGTGATCGTCTTATGTGAAAATCCTATCCTCACTCCGGTCTGTTGGACTCCTGGCACAGGCTGCTGCACTACCCCAACAGGTTGTTGTACCATCAGTGCAGGCTGCTGGTTTGTCTGCGGTTGATACATACTGATTCTTCACTATCTGAATGTATGGAAGAAAGAAGACAATGAAAAGACTCAAAGTGAGTCACCTACACCAACAATGGTTTTGGAGAAGCATTAAAAAATACAAAAACTGAAAATACATGTAGATCAATTATAAAATCAAAGAAAGCTTAGAAACAATTCCCACAATAACACATTGATTGCTGAAAGCTTTCATGGACATAGCAAAATCAACAGGGAAAAAAGTCTTTGAGATGCACAATGTAATACTAGTAGAAATGTCATACATAGAATGGATAATTTTCACTAGAAATACGAAAGAAAAATAAATATTAGACATCATGCACCTTGTGATGTATACTAGTAAATGGTGGCAAAAGCTGGGTTAGTGCAAAAAAAAGGGCTTGTGTCCCTTGCAATTCACATATCACAGAATTTGATAGGTGGAGCATGGCGTCCATGAATTTTGGAGCAAGCGATTGCTAGCACAAAAACATCACAAATATTGTATTGCCAAGGACTCATGACAGCAATTCTTGAACATTATAATATAGCAAATCAGATAACTGTAAAAGACTTTTCAAAGCTGCCCAGAATTGTGAAGATGCTTGTCGATCTGTCAAAAGTTGACAGTTGATAGACCAAAACTCACAAAACATTATGACCAGAAGTGTATGCATCAACAACTTCTCGTTGGTATTCTCAAAGCGATGTATAGCCTAGTATCTTTAGTGCACCGCTGTCTTGCAATGCCATCATAAATGAAATCTCAAATAATATTTTGAAATGCAAGCAAGTGAAATTTCAGTTTTGGCGCGGTTTCTAATAAACTATCAAGAAGGATTTTTGTTAATGAAAAAAAAAGATTATAATCAAAGAAATCTTAGAAAGAACTCCCGTGTGCTGAGAGTATTGAAGACACATTAAAAATTAATTCAAAATTACTTGTACTTGAGATATTGATGGAATAGCTGAAAACTAATTATGTAAACCAGGTAACTGATATGAACAGATTTGAGCGTAAAACTAATAAGGCCTGCGTAATGTAATATCTATGTACCAAGTTTTATTGAAATGTGATTAGAACAAAAAAACTATGAATTATTATTAGAGAATTAATATGAACAAATTTCAACCCAAAATTAATCGGGCCTGTCTATTGTTCTAGAGCATTTATGTACCAAATTTTATTCAAAAGTGATGATCAGTAATTGAGATATCAGTGTTAATTAATTATTTTAATTAGGTGAATAATAAGCATAAATATTCACCAAAAACTAATTGGGTCTCTGCATAGTCCTAGGTGCATTGAAATGTGATGATAAATAAGTTGAAGTTTCATTAAAATCCAATTAGT